ATTACTTTGGTTCCTCTTCATAACATCCCATATACCCATCTTGCTCATGGTATTAGATCGCCCCACCTCCTTTTCTTCCCATCATTTTACATGTTTATTTTATATGTATTCCTATGATGATATACTTTAGCAGATATTGTTGTGAGATGCCTACTTACTTTTTAACCATTAAACTTGCATCACAGTCTACACTTAGAGGCACTGTGTTTCTTCCTCTGTTTCCTCCACATTAGAGTCTGCTTCACTCTACCACAGCCTGCCCTTGTATTCAGACTGTTTCATCCCCTTATCTGTCATTGGATTCCTATTACTGGATTTATTAAGACTCTATGGAATTTTGGTCTGTAGATTCCATGCGCCTATTATTTCTCTGCTCAAGTCAACTAAACACCTGGGATATTGATCTGGTCAGTTAAGTAGCAGAGGGGGTTGTTAGTCAATTTCAGCTGCTTTGGTGTTAATGAAATTAACAACAGGTGCACTAGATGGGCAACAGTGAGACGACCCCCAAAACAGCAATAGTTTTACAGGTGGAGGCCACTGACATTTTTTTCCCTACTCATCTTTTCTGACTGTTTTTCACTAGTTTTGCATTTGGCTAGGGTCAGTGTCACTACTGGTAGCATGAGGCGATACCTGGACCCTGCAGAGGTTGCACAGGCAGTCCAACTCCTCCAGGATGGTACATCAATATGTGCCATTACCAGAAGGTTTTCTATGTCTCCCAGTACAGTATCAAGATCATGGAGGAGATTCCAGGAGACAGGCAGTTACTCTAAGAGAGCTGGACAGACCCATAGAAGGTCCTTAACCCATCAGCAGGACCAGTAGCCTTTGTGCAAGGAAGAACAGGATGAGCACTGCCAGAGCCCTACAAAATGACCTCCAGCAGGCCACTGGTGTGAATGTCTCTGACCAAACAATCAGATACAGACTTCATGAGGGTGGCCTGAGGGCCCGACGTCCTCTAGTGGGCCCTGTGTTCACTGCCCGACACCATAGAGCTCAATTGGCATTTGCCATTGACCACCAGAATTGGCAGGTTTGCCACTGGTGCCCTGTGTTTTTCACAGATGAGAGCAGGTTCACCCTGAGCACATGTGGCAGACGTGAAAGGGTCTGGAGAAGCCGTGGAGAAAGTTCTGCTGCCTGTAACATGGTTCAGCATGACCGTTTTGGTGGTGGGTCAGTGATGGTCTGGGGAGGCATATCCATGGAGGGACGCAGACCTCTACAGGCTAGACAATGGCACCCTGACTGCCATTAGGTATTGGGATGAAATCCTTGGACCGATTGTAAGACCCTACGCTGGTGCAGTGGGTCCTGGGTTCCTCCTGGTGCATGACAATGCCCGGCCCCATGTGGTGAGAGTATGCAGGCAGTTCTTGGAGGATGAAGGAATTGATACCATTGAATGGCCTCCACACTTGCCTCACCTGAATCCAATAGAACACCTCTGGGATATCATGGTTTGGTCCATCCAACGCCGCCAGGTTGCACCTCAGACTGTCCAGGAGCTCAGTGATTCCCTGGTCCAGAGCTGGGAGGAAATACTCCAGGACACCATCCGTCGTCTCATTAGGAGCATGCCATGTTGTCAGGCATGCATACAAGCACGTAGGGGCCATATAAACTACTGAGGACCATTTTGAGATGCTGCAATGAAATTTCAGCACAATGGACTAGCCTGCTGCATGATTTTTTCACTTTGATTTTCGAGGTGTCTTTGTATTCAGTTCTCTGTAAATTGATAATTTTCCTTTCCATCAAACGATGGGGCATCCTTATGTTTCTAACACATTACTCAGTCCATATTGGTATAGATATCCAGCAGGAGATTTTTCCCCATTGATGTGTTTTCAAAGTGTTTCTTAAATTTTTTGAGTAATGTAGAATATCAAAAACCTGCCTAGTCACACATTTTTATTTTTAGAGTAAAGTTCTACTTTAACCATGCATGGCTCGGAGCACCCACACTACACTAACATACTGGACTAAGGGGGTGGTTAAAATTCTGCCCTTATATGGACAAAATAATGTCCTGCATAGATCATATAGTCACCATATCGCAATTTCAAGAACAGACATTACTGATGTTGACTATTGCTACCGCTATCTGTATACATTGACAGAGTTCCATTAACTATATCTAAACCCAGGAACAAAAAAGTTGTACAGTGCCTTAAAAAAAGTATTCATACCTTTTGAAGTTTTCCACATTTTGTCATGTTACAACCAAAAATGTAAATGTATTTTAGTGGGATTTTATGTCATAGACCAACATAAAGTGGCACATAATTGTGAAGTGGAAGGAAATGATTTTCAAAATTGTTTACAAATAAATATTTAAAAAGTGTGGCGTGCATTTGTATTCAGCCTTCTTTACTCTGATACCCCTAACTAAAATCTAATGGAACCAATTGCCTTCAGAAGTCACCTAATTAGTAAATAGAGTCCACCTGTGTGTAATTTAATCTCAGTATAAATACAACTGTTCTGTGAAGCCCTCAGAGGGTTGTTAGAGAACCTTCGTGAACAAACAGCATCATGAAGGCCAAGGAACACACCAGACAGGTCAGAGATAAAGTTGTGGCGAAGTTTAAAGCAGGGTTAGGTTATAAAAAAAATATCCCAAGCTTTGAACATCTCATGGAGCACTGTTCAATCCATCATCCAAAAATGGAAAGAGTATGGCACAACTCTAAACCTACCAAGACATGGCCGTCCACCTAAGCCAGGCAAGGAGAGCATTAATCAGAGAAGCAGCCAAGAGGCCCATGGTAACTCTGGAGGAGCTTCAGAGATCCACAGCTCAGGTGGGAGAATCTGGTCCTATAAAGTATTGACTCGGTGGGGGGGCTGAATACAAATGCACGCCACACTTTTCACATATTTATTTCTTAAAAAATTTGAAAACCATTTATCATTTTGACCATTTATCATTTTAACACTTTGTGTTAGTCTATCACATAAAATCCCAATAAAATACATTTAAGTTTTTTGGTTGTAGCATGACAATATGTGGAAAATTTCAAGGGGTATGAATAATTTTTCAAGGCACTGTATATTGCAGCTTACTAGTCCTTAGACGTGGTGGCTGCATTAGTTTTCTTTTCTTTTTTCCGGCTTTTCCACTTTATTTTTACCTTGTGATCTTGTCAGTAACAAACATCCTGTTCTACAGTGACAACGCTCACTGACTATACAGTATCTATGGAGAAGTGGCATTGTCATCCTACCTTCGCCCTATTCTCTTCTTTATACCATAAAGGGGTGGGATTCTGTAGATCTCAGAGATAGCTGGAAAGTTTGTAACTGGGAAGAGAGCACAGGATGACAAGATTGCTGGGAGGATCAACGGGTATTTATTTGCAGTTATCCAACAGATGCAACAAATGTGCTTTTCAATGGTATGTTTAACAGATTAAAAGGAAGCAAATAACAGAAGTTTCTGGTTAGGGTTTCTAGGTGCTTTTGCACATTTTGGGTGTGGCACGTGTATATTAGAAATACTATATCTAGGTTGGGAGCTTCAGGTAAGGATTCCAAATGAAAAAAATTAGGAAACCCTCCTCTGTCAACACAGTAAATAATTGGTTAAGGAGGAACTTAAGCCACCTATACTTACCTTCCCCCCCAAGCTTTGCAACATTTGTGAGCACCCATGTCAGCACTGACACCTTTGCCTGGTCTTCTGAGTTCGGCATCTTCGGCCATCTTGATTGGCCAGCCCAGGATGATGCAACTCCTGCAAACGCACACAGGAGACACCTCAGGCAATGCATGTTACAAAATATGCGGAGGAGCAGTGTTCACCTTGAATGGGCACCAGCTATCAGCTTGAGCGATAATTAAGCTTGCTTAATGGTGACCCTGCTATGTAATGCTTCTACAGCTTATGTCACCTGGCGCATGCGAAGATGGTCTCTGCCTGGCCTTCATCTACACATGTGCAAAGACAGGAATGGTTTCAGACTTATTTGGTAGCAGTCTTTCTGCATGCACAAGAAAATCCATACGTGTGCAGATGGCGGGAGACACCGGTGCTTGAACAGATGTGTGCTGCAGTACTTTCTGAGGACCCAAGTCCTGCAAGACATCATCTGCGCACGTGCAGGGCATGGAAAGAAATGTTTGCCAATTATAGGCAAGGATTGCGGAAATGCTGCTTTTCAGCACAAATAAATCGATAAAAAAGAATCAATTTGTAAGAGAGGGCGGAAGCAGGGCATCACAACATGCCTTTTTATGGTGGTGAAGGTCCATTTTAAGTTTGTGTTAACGCTCCAAATTGCAAACGATGACCAGGAACTGTCAGTCATAGAAATACAGAAAGGAGCACCAGACCAAAAGAAAAAATCCATGATAATTTTAATTACGGTTTAAAAAAGGATCATATAAAAATATCCAACACATTTGGGGCAACACCACTTCTCCTTGATCAGTGGTGGAGTGCACAAAACGCATTGGACGTTTTATATGACTTTTTTTTTACCAACAATTAAAATGACCTTGGACTCTCATCCTTGTTTTAGTCTGCGCTCATTTTTTGTATTTCTAGGGTTGGAGTTACTGTCAGAGCCCATTGAGGGAAGCCTTGCTGTGTGGCAGCCTCCCCGACAGAGCTACTGGACTTGTTTGAAACTTTCCTTCTTACTTTGAGTTTGCTGTCGATGACCTGTCGGTGTGCTGGGTGCATTGTCTCAGCATAGAACCTCAAACACCCATGGACAGTGGCTGGACTTTAAAGACTGCCCACCCTGTTGCTTCATATATGCTTTATTCTGACAGGAAGAGGTTAATCATAAAATCTAGAGAAAAAAAAAATTGTAAGTTTTACACTCTGAGAAAATGAAACAAAATATCAGATCACATTATACTTCCTCATTTCTCTCTACAGATTTCATAAAAAGGTTCTCAGCGCTGGAGTGAAGAAAGAGCCATGTGTGTAATCAAAGTACAGTGATAGACTAATTGTTTGTTTTGCATTTTATTCTTAGATATTGTCAAGCATGGACAAGTTCAAAAAGCTGTCAGATGAGCAGCTCATAAAAGTCCTGCGGGAGTATGGAATACCTCATGGGCCTGTTGTTGGTATGTTGAATTTTATTCCCTCCGACAGTGAACTCAAAAATTCACAACGTATTTAATGGTACTATTGTCAGTAAGCTAAACATACAGGTGCATCTCAATAAATTATCAAAAAGTTAATTTATTTCAGTTATTCTATTCAAAAAGTGAAACTTGTATATTAAATAGGTTAATTACAAACAGTGATATATTTCAAGCATTTCTTTCTTTTAATTTTGATGATTATGGCTTACAGCTAGTGAAAACCCAAAGTCCAGTATCTGAGAAAATTAGAATATGACATAAGACCAATTAAAAAAAAAAGGATTTTTTATACAGAAATGTTGGCTTACTGAAAAGTATGTCCTTGTACAGTATAGCAGGGCTCGAAAATTCCACTCGCCTGCTTGCATTGGCAAGTGGGGGCGAGTGTGTCCAAACTGCAGCAGGTGACATTGACAGTCGGGGATGATCGGTGCAGCGGTAGGGACAGTGACAGCACTGATCTCCCTGTATGGATTTCAATGAAGCAGCTGAAAGCCATGGGAGGGAGCCAGGAGAGCTTGCGGGGGATCCAGAGAAGAGGAGGATCCGGGCTGCTCTGTGAAAAACCACTGCATACAGGTAAGTATAGCCTGTTATTTTTCTAAAAATAAAAAATTACCCTTTAGAAACGCTTTAATATGTAAAGTTTTTAAAAAAAGACAATTTATTCTTGAATGTTTTATATGCAGTGGTAAATGTAAATAACCAACTTTATGGTTATGGAAAAAAACTTTTAATCCACTGAGAATAACAAACAGAAGAGATATACAGTATATTATTAGAGGTTGAATCTGGTACTTATCATCAGACTGAGAGATCAAAATTAAAAAAAAAGAAAAACGCAAAAGACCTAAAACATTGTAATGTATACCTAAAATAATTAATATATTATATACACCTAAATATTATATTATTATACCTAAAAGGATTGTAATATAATAGTATGCATGACAGACTTCCTTGTCATAGGCAGGGAGCTTGATACAAGCCACCTGCCCCTGCTGTCACGTAAGCCTGGTACATGCGTTCAGTTTTTTTTTTTTTGCTCAACTCAGTGGGCTAAACGAAAAAACAAATCTCTCCTGCTGTGCCTTTGTGTTCTGACAGGAACCCCCGCCGGAACACACTATGCATTTGCAGCCATTGGCTGCGAATGCTGATCGGATGCTGGTTTTAGAGCATGTTACTTCAACAAAAGCTGATACTTAGACCGACTTCTGTCGAAAGGACAGCTGTACACATGGTATACATTTCGTCCGGTTCCTGCTGAAACGGTCCTGATTTTCCTCTTCTCTGGGCTCCCCCACCGTAGCTTCTGGCTCCTCCTGCCTTCAGAGTGCCGCATTGCAAGCCACAAAGTGTAGTATAGAGTTCCCCTATAGAAAGGTAAAACAAACTTCTGCCTTTACAATCACTCAGTTTCTTCTCCTGCCCAGGGCTACATGTCCCACGAGGCACTGCTCATCACACATTCACAGTGTGCTGCACTTTTCTGAAGTAAACAAAAGTATGCAGGTCAACTAATCGGCTGACCAACTAATCGATTGTGAAAATAGTTGACGGCTATTTTTATAATCGATATGCCGATTAGTTTTTTCAGCCCTAATGTTTATTCACTACATTCTTTAACCGATTTAGCGCCACCCCATAGCAGAAATACTGCTACAGGGTGGTAGCGGTGTGCAAAATCAAGTATATATACACGTGACAATGCATTTCCGGTAAGGGGGCATGCACGAGGCGTGCACATGCCCTACCTGCTTCTCCATTCGTGGCCATGGCTGTCAATCACCGGGTCCCGGCTGGTGATTACTCGCCGGCACCCAGTGATTGCCGAGGATCTCAGACTGGGAGGAGAACTGTTAGTAAAACAAAACAGTTCTCCCTGTCAGCTCCTGCACACTGCTTTGCATGGCTGTGTACAGCACAGCCATGCAAAGCAATGTGCTTACAGTGAAGCACAAACACAGATCATCATGTAAAACATCACACATTTAACCCTTTGATCGCCCCACATGTTAACCCCTTCATGCCCACTGCCATTAGCACAGTGTCAGTGCTTTTTATTAGCACTGATCACTGTATTGGTGTCACTGAGGATGTCCGTGACACCAAGTCAGTTCCCCCCCAGTGTCAGAATGCCCGCTGCAGTCCTGCTATAAGTTGCTGATTGCCGCCATTAGTAGTAAAAAAACAAAAGCCCAGTATATATAACGCCATTTGTAAACGCTATAACTTTCACGTAAACCAATTATTTTACACGTATTGGGATTTTTTTTTAGCAAAGACATGTAGCAGAATACATTTTGGCCTAAATTTATGATGAAATTTGATATTTAAAATTTTTTTTTACTGGACATGTTTAATAGCAAAAATGAAAAAAAAAATTTTTTCTCAAAATTGCCGGGTGTTTTTTTTTATTATAGTGCATAAAATAAAAACTGCACTGGCAATCAAATATCACCCAAAAGAAAGCTCTATTCGTAGGAAAAAAAGGATGTAAATTTCATTTGGGTGCAGCGTTGCATGACCGCGCAATTGTCAGTTAAAGTAACATAGCGCCGTAACGCAAAAAATGGCCTGGTCAGGAAGGGGGGTAAATCCTCTGCATAGATAATGCCACAAATAAGTTAGCAAAACCTTCATGTAATGAATATGTGTTGCATTTGTTCAGTGTACTTTTGTTGCGAAAGTCAGAAGCAACTTCTGTGACTGAAGCAGGTGACTATACAGTATGGCAGTTTACACAGAATCTGTTAGTTTGCCGGAGGGGGTGTATTGCTAGACACAAACACTGTCAGGTGAGAGGGATGAGGTAGAAGTTAAAGCCAACCTTCACCCATTACATACATTTTTTTTCTCTTCTGGTCCTGCTTTCTCCTCTTAGGGCTCGTTTACATGAGCTTTGGTCTCTGAAGAGCAATTCAAATTCAGATTTCTCTTCAGAGAGCTTTTGACAAGCGGTGAGGGTTCATTACCTGCTTTAATCCCTTAATCGCCCCAGTGGCAGAGGGGCCCCATTATTATTATTATAATACAGGATTTATATAGCGCCAACAGTATGCTCAGAGCTTTACAATATAACAGGAGACAATACAGTTCAATACAAGAGGGATAGGAGGGCCCTGATCCTTGGAGCTTACAATCTAGGAGTGAGTCACTTGATATGGCTGCAGGGTAAAGTTGGGGGGGTGTTGAAGTGCAGCTTAACTTCTGGGTTTTACCACCCCCCAACCTGTGGCACAGGGTTTGGACTCGATATATCAAAGATGGAGCAGAGAAGATGACTATGTGGGTGGGAGTGTCTTCCAACAAAAGAACCTGACATCTGAGTGGGCAAAGTGACAAACATCTACCTCTGTAATGAAGGAGAGAGGGAGGTATTATGCAGCCCTACCACACTCCCTGTCATAGTGTGACAACACTGCTTGTTACTTCTTGTCACCCTAGGACAGGAAGGGTGTTAATGGCAGGATTACTGGGATTAATAAAGGAAAAGGAATGTGAAAAAAAAGACTAATGCAGCCACCACAGGACCAGAAAGCCGCAATACTATCAATTGTTGCTTTTGGATTTACATAAACCATGGCCCACCAAATCCTAGGCGCCAAATTGCCATGGTGACCAGAAACCGCGTCTATTTTTGGAACCTGTATCGGTGCCTATTTTCATATCGGCCAAAAGCCTAAGCGTTTCAGTCGCATTTTGGTGCATCCCTAGTTAGCACATGCTGAAGTAGGGGAGGGCCCTGAGGAAGCCACACTTGGAAATTGTGGGTCAGTACCACCAGAATTAAAGTATGATTAAAGTTATTAACCAATTCAATACCGGGCAATTTTACACCTTCCTGCCCAGGCCAGTTTTCAGGTTTCAGCGCTCTCACACTTTGAATGACAATTGCGCGGTCATACAACATTGTACCCAAACTAAAATGTTATCATTTTCTTCACACAACTAGAGCTTTCTTTTGGTGGTATTTAATCACCGCCGGGGTTTTTATTTTTTGCTAAATTAACAAAAAAAGACCAAAAATTTTGAAAAAAAACACACGTTTTTCTTTGTTTCTGTTATAAAAGTTTGCAAATAAATAATTGTTCTTCATAAATTCAGGCCAAGATGTATTCTGCTACATGTCTTTGGTGAAAATAACCCAAATTAGGATGTATTTTTTAGTTTGTAGGAAAGTTATAGAGTTCACAAACTATGGTATAGATCTGAATATTGATCAATCCTGAAGTACTGACAGCCAATCTAATTTCTTGAGGTCCAAGAATGTCAGAACAGTACAGATATCCCTCAAATGACCCCTTTTTGCAAAGTAGACAGTCCGATGTACTTTTGAAGTTGTATTTTTTTTGTCCTAATTGTTCGGAAAATGAAAAAATTAAAAAAATTAGTTTCACTATTTTTTTTTTACATATTGTCACCAGTGCAGTACAGCGTCATCATATAACTGGCATGGCGGTGATCACTGACTGGTGAAAGTATGAAAAAAAAAAATATATATTTTTTTTTGTATTATTTTTATTTTTAAATAAATTATTTTTTTATTTTTTTTAAGATTTTTTTTTCATATTTCACTATGACCAAAGTAGTACAATGTTACCATAGTAACATTGTACTACTTTGGGGAAGTGATCAGTATTTTTTTTTTTTTTTTACACAATTTGCTTATAGCAAAGAATTACTTTGCTATAAGCAAGCATTTACCTGAATGACATCGATTCATTCAGGGTTTTTTTTTTTTTTTTTTGTGTTTTTTTTTTTGGTGCTTAGCTGTGATTTGGCCACAGCTAATCACATGACATGTGCATGTGACCTGCTGTGACCATTCACAGCTAGACACTAGTATACAATGGTTGGCATGAATGAAGCCATCCATTGTATACAACTGTCATGTGACCTGCTGTGATTGGTCACAGCAGGTCACATGGTACCGGCAATGGGGGCCGATACTCAGATCTGTCATCGGCCGTGTC